CCAGACCAGACTCACCCACCCTGTAGCTCAGAGTCACTTAGTCAAGCTCAGCCCAAATCAGCAGGGTCATGCCAGCCAGTCCACATAGAATGAGTAACACTTTGGGCTGCTTATGTCCATACTGAACCTGTGGAGCTATTCAAATGATGGCTGTGAGAGAGAACTGCACTATGCTGGACTAGAAGGAAGTGCCTTAGGTGACTGAGTATCCTTCACAGGAAGGGGGAGAGCAGCTCCTTTTTTCCTTTGGGAATAGAGATTCGAGATGCTAAATGCTAGTAGAGAAGATGCCAGTAAGATGAGGGGAAGCAGAGCTGACTGCCAGGGTAAGAAGAGGCCTCATGGAGGAAGGAGGCCGACAGCAGGCCGGCTCCTATAGAAATCAGATCCAGGAACACTGTGTAGGCCCAGTGCATGTCCAGTGCCCACTTGGCCAATGCCTGGAAAGCTGTGACTGGCACAGAAGAAACGCCCCCTGAATCCAGACCTAACCCACCCACCCCTTTAGCTGTTATGATCTCTTTCTTCCTGCCTTGGGTACCTTAGCTCTCATACGGGATCAAAGAGATTGTCCACATGCCTTGAGTGAGCCCTCTGTTCTGCTGACTCAGACAGGGAGAGATTTTATTTACTTTTCTGGGTATGGACATGCCCACCTGAATGACAACCCGTCCCTAACTCTCTCACCTCATGCCAAGGGTCACGGTAACCAAAACTGAGTCTCAGTTGAAGACTGTAGTCTGTACATGTAATGGATCATCCTGCAGGTGAGAGGTACCACCTAACGAGCCCCAAGCCAAGCTGAAAGTAACTGCCAAGTTCATTAGAAGACCAAAGTTTCTTTTCCAATGCCATTTGAGAAAAAGAAACAGGAAAGGTCATATGGCTAATCGTATCCTATTTTCTAAATTCTTCTTACTTTATTTTCTAAATTCTTTTTGTCTTCTTTCTATAATATATCTTTCTAGATATAATATATAATATATAAATTATATATAATATATAATAACATATAACACATAATACACACAAACTATTTTCTGGTCAGTTTCCCCATAAGTAAAGTTAAGCTTGGCTAAACTGAAAGCTCTTTAAGGGACCTTATGATCTGAGCAAAGTACAGACATGGGCTAAAGCATGCCTTTGGGGTTTACAGTTGGCCTGCTTTTCCCATCAGTGACAATGCTGGAGTCCCTTAGGTGCCCTCAGAGATTTCATTTACTCTTAGTATACATGGCCGGTAACAGTTTAGCCTTATGTATTTTAAAAGACCTCATAACCTTAGGAGAAAGAGATGAAGCTCTCAAGGGTGAGATTTTAGGGAGAATTTGGTGGGATAACTTGGAAAGCTAGATTTTATCTTACGGCATCTATTTATACTCAGAAACTACCACCCTCATCTAGTATCTCTGGCTAAGGACCAGGAATGGCTACAGTTCTAAGTAGAAACCTACATTTTTGCTCGTGTGTGAGCCTCGCCAGCCATGGGCCAAGCAGGTCTCCCAGACTAAGATGATTGGAATGGACTGAAAACCATAACAGAATCAATCTGAGTAGTGTAACTAGATCATACCAAGTTAAGTTTTAGAGCATAGAGTTGCCCTCACTCAAAACTCTGTCTTTGTCCTTTCAATTCCAAGACCTTGACTACCATTTCCCCATTTGAAATAGATCAAGTGCAAACTTGAAAACAGAACTACAGCAGCAACCATAGCTAACAGCCTGAGCCAAAGGAGGAAAAGGATGAAAATACATTAAGAACTTAAAAAAGGGCCTATTTTGTGAAGGGCAAGTTGCTCACCAAACCTCATTGGCCTGTGAGTATGTCATTGCATTCACTATATTAGAGCCCAATACAATAATCAGTACTTTGTGTACTAATTCTGGGTCATCTGGAAAAGCCTAAATGATATCAGTGTGCTCTGTTTAGGAGGATAATTCTAAAACATTGAAAAAAAGAAACCACATTTCCCTAGAGGAAAGTAGTGGTTATTGCACTGTGAAATTACAGTGTCAAGTGCCCGGGGAAAATATACCTACCTCTGAATGTTATCTTCAAGTTGCTTGACTCTGAACTCATCCTCCTCAGACTGACGCCTCCTGGCTTCCTCCTCCTCGGCAGTTCCGGCGGGTATACCCTGCAGCAGCCATTTTTCCCGAAGCACTTTGGACTGTGGAAATGAAAGAAGACAACAGACAAGATGACCCCTTTCGGTCCACACTCACCTCCAACTCTCATCAGTGCTTGCCTGAACCACCGCCTTCAACTTCTCATTAACTTGGCTCTTTACTTTCCTCCAGTACAACCTCCAGAGAGGCCCCAGAGGGCTTTAGTTCTACATTTTATATGATTTCAAAATAATGAAAAATGAAGTGAGCTGTATAGTGACTGCCTATGTAAACTCATCCAGATTTAAAAATTATAAACATTTTCTCATTTTTTCATCAAAGCATTTAAAAGTACATAACAAACATCATGATATTTCACCTATTAATATTTCAATGTGGGTCTTTAAAAGATAAGGACAGTTTTCCATGGAACTACAGATCCACTATAAAATTTCTTAAGATCACCTAGTACCCAGTCCATATTAAAGTGGGTGTTTTGTAAAGGCTGATTTATTTCATGGCTCTTCTTCTTAAAACAAAGAAATCTTTTTCTTCCAAGAAATAGAAAGTGAGAAAAAGAAAGACAGGTACTCCCAACAGGGTCTTCACACCACGATCCATTCCTAGCATCAACCAGCCAGAATTGCAGGTCCTCAGTGTGCACAAGGAGACCCTGGGATGTGAACTAGCGATCTTCCCACATGGGTCCAGTTTTGCAGAGTGTTGCATTACCACTGCACCACTACTGGCCCAGGTCTCTTCTTAGAAACCATGTAATGATTCCCAACCATCCTCAGCAGCAGTCTCTAAATGCTATTAAATTCATGTACCTGACCTGTGCCAGTGCACTATTACATTGTGAAATGGAATAAAAAGGTTTTGTTTCAGGTCAGTGATTAGGAAAGAATGATTATTATTTTGAGAAGAGAAATGGAAACATGCCCAAGTGGAAGGCATACTAAAACTTTCTAAAAGAATAAGCAGGGAAGGTAGACGTGGGAGAAGTGTTTTGACTCAGATTTTCACTTACGTGGCTCCTAGAAGGTAGATGGTAGTTTTTTTAATGTCTGCAGAGACTTCCACATCATGGCTGAGGGCCAGTAACAGTGCCCATGGACAGGTCAGTGGTCATGGGAATGGACCAGTAGGAGGATGCAAGGCATGTGACCAATTCTTCCCAGCAACAGTGGACAACAGCAATTACAGCTATGAAGCCAGCCAACACAGAGTAAGAACTGGGTTCTCTGGTTCCTCAGCATCACCTCAATCCAGAACTTTGTCTGATCTCGTTAAGTAGGTGAACAAGGTGAAAGAAAGCTCTCCTACTGATGGAGAGCTAGGACATGCATGCTTGGAGCTGACTTCTTGTTATAAAATTCTCTTGGTAGAGAGAGACAGGAAGAAAGAATTCCCCCTAACTCCCTCCAGTGGGGCATGGTACTTTCTCCACCCTGTCTTGTTTATAGGCAGGCATACACATTCATCCAGCAAGTCTTTCAAGCTTCTGCCAAGTTCAGGACTGGAACTGCAGTTGGCAATGTAGGATCTGGCTCCCTTAACCACTAAGCCATGGGGACAGGCCTTTCCTGTAGCTCTTATGAATGAAGGATGCACAATTCCATAGACTTTCCTTTTAATGTGAAATTAAGGACTACTTAGAAATGACCAATACTAAGTAAGTTAGACTTTATTAATGGTCTCGATTTACCAGCAGCCATTTAGCACTAGGGAGACTTTGCTGGGTGCACAGAAGCAAGTTTAAGCAGGCTATAATTATTGTACCTCTAAGGTGGATGAACCCTTTGTTAGCATGGCATTATTGATGTATGTCCAGGTAGTCATGGTTTTTATTGGTGTTATTCTTGCCTTTTCATATAAATCATATTGTTATAAGTCACTGTCACTCGAAATCTGTTTCACTGCTCTTACGTTACATAGACAGACAAATTTATAACACCTGACATGTAACTTTCAAATAATCAGACTTAAAGACATGAGTGTTCATAAGTGAGTGATTTCTAACCATACTGCTAAGCCAATTATAGAAAGGACCTCTCTCTTCCCAGTGTTGTTTGTAACTGTCACCAACATACACACAAAAAGTACTATTTTGGGGGGCACGGGGAAGAGGTTTTTGCTATAGGGTGCATGTGCTCGCCAGAAAGACAGACAGAGACAGAGACACAGAAAGTGAGAAATCACCCCTCAGTGGGGATGGCCACAATGCAATCCCTTCTCCTCCATTCTCCTCTCAGGATCTTGGGCACGCACGAACACGCGCGCAGCGTGAGTTTAAGCCACCAGGTCCGGGACGCAAACTATGCTAGACTACATGGAAATCCAGTGACACAGCCATTATGCCAACTGCTGGTCCCCCAAAGTACTATTTTTAAAAACATTTATAGGGGATGGTTTTATAATATAAAACCACGTGTAAAAGTGTGTAGCGAAATTACTCTATGTTGATTGCCCTCCAAAACTTTACCATGGAGAGTCCCCTCCACTGGAAGGTGGGAATGGATGCTAAAAGTTGATTGCTCTTTCTAAGTGGACCACAGAAGACAAAACATTGAGTTAGCCCCACCATCCCAGAGTCCCAGCCTTAGCAGCCTGCTGACTCTGAGCATCCAGAGGCACAGGTCCTTCCACCTCTGTCTCTTCCCTGTATACAGCAGTGACATCACCAAAATGCCCCCACAGAAAAAAAAAAAACAAACAGAAAAGAAAGGACTTAACAGGGAAAGGTAGCAGGTCCAGTCCCAGGGAAGTCTGTGTCACAAAGGTGTTCTGACGTTAATGTTAAGGTGGCACAGCAGTAATACTCTGCTCGGCAATGCTGTAAGCCATATGGAATACTGGGGTTCAGTTCCAGGGTCAACCTCTACATGCTGGGTGTGAGGACACATGCCCATGATCCAGCTGGCTGAGAGGCTGGGGCGTAAGGGATCAAGGCATAAGACCCTATTGAAGGTGCTTGCCTTTCTCAAATGAAACAAATAAGTAAACAAACTTACAAAAAACCCCACAAAACCTAAAAAGATTAGTTGATTGTCACTTGGTCCTAAAAACATGCTATGTTGTCAGGGAAAACAACTTCTAAGCTTTTTCGACTGACTCCAGTTTTTTCCCCATGTTGTTTCTGAGGACCAACTGTGTTAGGCCCCAGAATGTGACAAATATACCAACGTGCCCATCAAAGCACAGATTCCCCTGCCTGCGTGTTTCAGAACTTAGTGATGAACAGAGCTCAGGTGAAAGGAAACTAAAGATAAAAAAGGTTTCTTTTTTTTTCTTTTCTTTTTTTTTTTTTTAATTCTCATTGTCCAAATTTGTCATAGTTTACAGGTGCTGAGAATGGTCACAACTGCACATCTATCAAATGGACAAACCATGAAAAGTCAGAACAAGCAAAAGGCAAATGGAGAACTGCAGCTTGGTGGAGGCTCTTGCAGGACAGACAACTCCAGAGTAAATTTGTTTCTTGTTCTACAGGTCTGTCCGACATTAGAAAACCAACCTGGAACAGAGCTCCTCAACTTCAGTATGTATAAGGGTCACTGGGAAAGCTTGCCAAGACAGACTCCAGGAATTCTTTAAGACTGGGGTTATGTCTGGGCATTTGAACCGTCATTAACAAGCTCCCAGATGATGCTGTCATTGATGCTGCTGGTCTGAGGCCCACACATGAGTAGCACTGCATGAGACCCTGTGACTGTCCAAAGGCTTGAAAAATTCATGAACTGCCTTGGTGGCTGGTCAAATGAAGTGATCTAAAACAGAACTCCTCAGCCTCGTGCAAACCCCCCTCCTGCTTCTCCCTCTCGGGAGAAGAGACTTCCTTGCCCCTGTCCTGTGTGCCAGGAGCTGGACACAGCTCAGGATGACAGGCAAGTCCCTATTCTTGCCAGCCCTTCATCCCAATAAACAAGGATGCAAGGTAAGTTCTGATTATGAAGCACGTCTGAGAGGAGACAGGCAGGACACTGTGACTGAGGGAGGACACTTTAGGGGAAAAATTTGAGGACCTGAACATCTGGGCTGAGATCAGAGACCCAGAGAAGCATCCAGGTGGAGGGAATGGCAAATGTGAGACTGGGAGTTTGGTGTGTTTGAAGACTAGAAAAACGGCTCAAGGGGCTGGGCCGCAAGGGGGGGTGGGGGGGGGAAGGGCAGAACAAGCTGAAGATGGGAAGAAAGGCAGAGGCCAGATTATGAAGGATTCTCTAGCCTTACTGAGGAGCTCACTGTTCATTCTAAGTAAAACAGAAAGAACAGATTGCGAGGGACAGGATTACAAAGCACATGCAATGGGAGTCTATTTCATCATTCTAATAATGACAGAGCATTTTAGCTGAAAACAGGAGAGGCAGAAGAAAAAACAGCCATGGAGGCATATTTTAGAGGTAGAGTCAACATGACTTGCCAATAGTTAGATGTGGGGGGTGGGAAAAGGGAAAGATTAAAAGGTAAAGAAGAGAAATTTAGTGTGTTCAAAATGGTAGATGGTGGAGTCATTAATTGGAGATGAAGAAGACTAGAGGAAGAAAAAATTACAGGAGAGTGGAAAATTGGGTCAGCTTGGTGGCACAATGGAAACACATTGTTCAAATGAAGCTGGATCCATATAGAGAGTGTGAGTTCGGTCCCCTGGTCAACCTATAAATGCGGGGCACGCATCCATGATCCTGACTGGCTGGGAAGGCTGGGGGAGGGATTGTGGCAAGAAGACCTTATTGTGAGTGCTTCTCTCTCTCTCTCTCTCTCTCTCTCTGTGTGTGTGTGTGTGTCTGTGTGTGTGTCTGTGTCTGTCTTTCTGCCTCTCCTCTTCTCTTATGAAATGAACAAATAAAAGAGCAGAAAATTGAAATTTTCATATGAGGCATGTTAAGTTTTAGGGGCTTATCACTGGAAGTGACATGCCTCTACGTGGGAATATCAAGACAGCAGTTGAATAAAGCCTAGAGATGTGGACCTTTGGGCTGGAGACATGAATTTGGCACTATGAATACACAAATGAAATAAAATCATGGTACCGGGTACTGATGATAACAATGATAGAATT